GACACAGCGCTGTGACATCCCTGTCTGGGGTCAGGTGACCAAGCCATGTTTAGCCCAAATACGGAAACAAGGGAGCAGGAAGGCGGGGGGGGGGGAGGTCTCTGAAAGGAAGAGTGGCAAGTGAAAGAAGCTAAAATATAGCAGCGCCGGGTCAGAATTATGTAGCTGAGATGGAGATTTCCTCTTTCCTCACCTCCCAGAGCAATCATTTCCTCCTCTGGGAGATGATGCTTCGCTAGAGCACTCTAAGTTAAGCACAACAGAAACCCAACTGAGGAAATCAAAGCTGGGACAGATATCTGCGGGCAGCGAAAGAACGGAAGGACGCTGCTGTTCTCATCTTTCCCCCAAGGCCAATCTTTAAAACGCATTACACAGGAGTAAGCCACCCAGTTGAGATTCCCGTTTCCATGCGAACCTATCTGTCATACTTCCCAAGGCAACACAAGAACTGAAACACAGTTATCCCACCATTTTGTAGTGTAATCCTCTGAACAAAATTAACGTGAACTTAGATGCATTATATTAGCCTGCCTAAAACTGCGTATACTAGTGAAAACACCATACAGGAGCTCATTATATTATTGAATGTATATGCCACCTTTTTGCAAAACACCACGGCAACACAAAAAACATTATTATTATTTCATTTATTATGCTGTTGTGTCGCAAACAATCTGGCAAGCCGTGAGGGCCGCAAATACTCCCAAGTTGCAGTTCTGAAATCTGCTCCACTCAAAAGTTCAGCCTTTTTTTTTATTTTAAAAAAGGGGAATCACAAGAGATTATGTGTTTATTACAGTTGCCCCCATTTTATAGGGGAGGAAGGATTCCCAGACTCAGCCCAGCCCTGTTCCTGTTATGGAGCATTTGGGTATGTGACCTTCTGGCTGGGTAACGAGAGGCAGATAAGTCCTCACACGACTGTAGACTGGGAAGTTCCGTTTAATAAAAGCAAGGGTTTAAGTAAAACAAGAGGAGGGGGCGAATTGCAGGTGCAAGTCACAAAATGTACTAAAAATGTTCTTTCTGGTCCGGGGATGAGGAAGCTGTGGCACCTGAGAAGTTGTTGGCTTCCAGTTCCTATCGCCTCAGAATCCAATAGAGAGGCGCCATTTTGTGCCCAAGATTGAGGAGCACGCCACGCAACACATAATTGGCAGGAGACCAATCAGAGAGCCCGGCATGGCGCAGGGCCTCTCACATGCTCAGGAGCAACCAGCGCCATGTTTGGTGTCCTCTGCCCCCTCAACACTGAGAGGGCCCAGTCCCCCACCAGCAGATATTGAGGAGGGCCAAAGACACCTTGCCCCTAGACTGAGTTGGTGCACATGGTGACCATCCTGGTTGGGGATGATAGGAGTTGGAATCTGTAGATTTGGTTTACAACAAATCTAACAGCATCTGAAGGGCTGAAGGCTCCTTCTCTCTCTCTTCCCCCCTGCCCCTGGATCCATGCTGCAGGTAAGGCTAAAAGATGGATTATTGCTCTGTTTATTTCAACAATCTATACCAGTGTTTCCCAAACTTGGGTCTCCAGCTGTTGTTGGACTACAACTCCCATCATCCCTAGCTAGCAAGACCAGCGGTCAGGGATGATGGGAACTGTAGTTCGAAAACAGCAGGAGGCCCAAGGTTGGGATCTTCATACATATTAATGACAACTGTCTTGTGGTATACAGCCAAGAATACAATATAAAAGGTAAAGGTAAAGGGACCCTTGACCGTTAGGTCCAGTCGTGGCCGACTCTGGGGCTGCGGCACTCATCTCGCTTTATTGGCCGAGGGAGCCGGCGTACAACTTCCGGGTTATGTGGCCAGCATGACTAAGCCACTTCTGGCGAACCAGAGCAGCGCACGGAAACGCCTTTTACCTTCCTGTCAGAGCGGTACCTATTTATCTACTTGCACTTTGATGTGCTTTTGAACTGCTAGGTTGGCAGGAGCAGGGACCGAGCAACGGGAGCTCACCCTGTCACGGGGATTCAAACCACCAACCTTCTGATCGGCAAGTCCTAGGCTCTGTGGTTTAACCCACAGTGCCACCCGCATCCCAAGAATACAATATAGATAACAGTTAAAAAGCTATAAAAGCAGAACTTGGTTCAAATTGCCCGCTGGAATTAAAAGTCTTCTGTAGCCACCAGAAATTCAACAGGGAGGGCGACCTGTCTGACTGAAACTGGAAGGGGTTTCCATGAAATTGAGCTCATAATGCAGAACTCCTGGCTCCAGGTGCATATGAGCCATGGGGGACCACTGACAAGAGACTGCCCAGAAGACCTCAATTGCCTAGGAAGGGATATAAGGGGTCAGGAGGTCCCTGAAATCTCCTGGATCCAAGTTCTTAAGAGATGGGGGTTCAATCCTGCTTGGCTCAGCTGTGTACGCTAATTCCTCACAGAGAAAGAAGGATTTGACTCTTGCTGGCAGATGAGGGTCTGACCCTGCTCAGTTACTCACTAACTTCCCCCCACCCTGTGCGCCTATTTTGGTAGGTGGATCACCCACCTGTCCATCACTCTGTCATTATGATATCACAGGAGTGGCAGGCAGCCCGTCCCGCCCACCAGCTAAAGTTGTCCCAGAGAGGTGGTGGGAGATAAACAACGGCCACCTCCTCTGAAGCCATCTTCCCCAACCGAGGGTGCTCCCAGATGATGCCGAACTACAACTCCCATCAGCCCTTGCCGCTGCCCCATGCTGGGGCAGCGGTCCAGCAACATGTGGAGACTCTGGGCTGGACAAGGCAGCTCCAAAGGCTCAAACTCCACACCCACGTATGCTAGAGAAAGGACATTTCGCCTTGTACAGCCCCAGCCCTAGATATCAGAATATTTCCATCGCTATAGAACAGGTTGACCCAATGTGGTTTCTTTCCTCCTGCCTCTCCTGCTTTCATTTCCTTTGGAGGTTCTTGCTCTCCAAAGATCTGGCCAGAGGGATTCAAAAATGTGTGCCAGAAATGTCAGCTTCTTCCTAGAGCGCTGAAACGGACAGATGCGCTAATGTGCTCATTTCACACCATCGCTGGAAGGGTAAGAGAGTAAATTGCTACCCTGCCAGTCACACACACACTCCAAAGGGCGAGCCAATTTCAGTGGTCACCAGCGCCCTGGGGCAAAGTGGCAAATGAGACTGAAATATCCCATTAAAGGCAGAAGAACTTTGCAGGAAAGGCATATGGTGCATGCACATCATAGAATCGTAGAGTCGGGACACTAACGGTCATCTAGTCCAACCCCCTGCAATGCAGGAATCTCAGCTGATGCATCCATGACAGATGGCCATCCAACCTCTGCTTAAAAATCTCCAAGGAAGTAGAGTCCACCACCTTCTGAGGGAGACCATTCCACTGTCAAACAGCTCCCACCGTCAGAAAGTTCTTCCTGATGTTTAGTCGGAAATCTCCTTTCTTGTAACTCGAAGCCACTGGTTAGAGTCCTACCCTCCAGAGCAGGAGAAAACAAGCTTGTTCCCTCTTCCAGGTGAGATATTTGAAGATATCATTGGTAGGGTTGCTGAGCTCAAGCTTGTAGCCAGAAACCTCGTCATCGAGGGCCCCAGGGGTGCAGCCAGGGAAAGAGGTCCAAGCAGAACAGCAAAAACCTACATTCAGGTACCCTAAGAGCTTCTCAAGTGGCTCATAAATATGTTAAAGAAACAAACACTATAAATTCTCTCTTTCCTAGCATACAAGTTTTATCTGCAGATGGCCTTCTGTGAATCACCTTAAAAAGGCAAGAAGCATAGTTCAGGGGGTTGCATGAAAAGGGCTGCGGGTTCAAACCCTGATGTCTCCTGGTAAGGCTGGAGATGGGGTGGGAAGACTCCTAAAGATAGCCTGGAGAGTTGTTGCCAGTCAGTGCCGACAATACTGAGGTAAATGGACCAACAGTCTGACGCTTTTTAAGGCAGCTAGCTCCCTGTGTTCCTACTTCCACTGAGAAGACCCTGGCCCTGGTGGAGGATAGTCCGACTGACTTCCTTAGGGCCCGGGACCTCTAAACTATGGTTGTTCATGGACCTTAAGGTCCTCTGCAGGGCAGACCAGGAGAGGCGGTCCCATAAATACGAGTTGGAAGGGATCCAAGGGTCATCTAGTCCAACCCCCTGCAATGCAGGAATCTCGGCTAAAGCATCCAGGACAGATGGCCATCCGACCTCTGCTTTAAAATCTCCACGGAAGGAGTCCACCACCTCTCGTGGGAATCTGATCCACTGCCGAAGTGAAAAGGCGTTTTCGAGCATAACTCTTTCCCTTGGCCTTTGAGAAACTGCCTAAGTTTTGTGCAGCTGTTCTCCGGACAAGATAAGGAGCTCCCTGACAAAGAATCAGGCCATCTGGCTTAGCATTGCCTTACCCTGACTGGCAGTGGCTGCTCAGGGTTTCAGAGAGAGGTCGCTCTCAGCCCTACCTCATACCTATGGGACCGCCTCTCCCAATATGCCCCACGGAGGACCTTAAGGTCCATAAACAGCAACACCCTAGAGGTCCCGGGCCCTAAGGAAGTCAGATTAGCCTCAACCAGGGCCAGGGCCTTTTCAACACAGGCCCCGGCCTGGTGGAACGCTCTGTCTCATGAGAACAGGGCCCTGCGGGATCTGATTTCTTCCGCAGGGCCTGTAAGACAGAGTTGTTCTGCCTGGCCTTTGGCTTGGAATCAACTTGATCCCCTCCCCCTCTTTCCTTTTTTCTTTCTCTTTCTGTGATGGAACTCCTATTTGTGGACTTCCCTGGCTTTTTTCTGGCCCATGTAGGACCAGTCTGGATAGTTGGCCTTGGTGAAGACTTGACGTTTTCATCCCAAAAAAAGTTCTTTACTGTATTTGAGTTCCTACTGAAATGAGGCTGCATTTTTAATGTTTTAATGTCATATTTTAATCTTGTTTTTAAGTTGTATTTCAGTCAATTGCTTTTATACCTAGTGTTTGCCGCCCTGAGAACGGTCTTGGCTGGGGAGGGCGGGTTATAAATAAAGATGATGATGATGATTACCTGGAATTGGCAGGAATTGAACCCAGGGCCTTCTTCTGCATGCAGGGCAGGTGCTCTAACCACTGGGCCACAGCTCCTCCCCTCTGGGACAATGATTCCCTGGACGGGTTGTAACCTAACAGTGTTTCTTGCTGACCAGTCAGGAAAGGATTCAGATCAACGTTGACTCTGCAAATCTACTGTACTGACAGGATGTCCCTATTTTCATTGGAGAAAGGTTGGAGGGAATGGAATGGCCAAGGGACGTGGGTGGCGCTGTGGGTTAAACCACAGAGCCTAGGACTTGCCAATCAGAAGGTCGGCGGTTCGAATCCCCGTGATGGGGGTGAGTTCCCGTTGCTCAGTCCCTGCTCCTGCCAACCTAGCAGTTTGAAAGCACGTCAAAGTGCAAGTACATAAATAGGTACCGCTCCGGCGGGAAGCTAAACAGCGTTTCTGTGCGCTGCTTTGGTTCGCCAGAAGCAACTTAGTCCTGCTGGCCACATGACCCGGAAGCTGTACGCCGGCTCCCTTGGCCAATAAAGCGAGATGAGCGCCGCAACCCCAGAGTTGGTCATGACTGGACCTAATGGTCAGGGGTCCCTTTATGGAATGGCCTTCCTTTTGCTTCACACGCCGCCCCCCCAAACCCCCAAACCAAAGGCTTGTATTTCCCAGGTTCTCTGTTCATCCATCCATTTATTCCCCCCACCACACACATAATAAGCAAATACACCATGATCAAATACCTCTCATTGTCAAACGACTCATTGTTTAAAAAGCTTCAGTTTAAAACCCTAAAGATTGCTAACAGATGCCTTTTTTGGCTTCAGACGGGAAGACGGGGGTGGGGTGGGGGAGCCGCTCTGGGGGTGGGGGAGAAACAAGAGCAGGTATTGAAAAGGGGGAATTAGTTTAAGGTTCCACTTCCATATATCACTAAAGGATTTCCAGCATTGGCCAAACAGGTGTCTCTCCAGGAAGGATGGAAGCACACCAGTCTTCATTCATTGCTGGTACCCGAGAAACTGGTACCTGGGGGTTCACGGCCCCAGACATCAGTAAGCCCTGGAGCTTGTGGTTCAATGGCAGAGCAGGTGTGTTGAATGCAGAATGCATTCCTAGCTGCTCCTGGTAAGTTTGGGGAAAGACTCCTGGGATGTAACTCTGGCTAGCTGCTGCCAGTCAACGTAGCCGATATACAGATAAGAATTCGACAGCCGGACAATGAGAAATTCCCAAAAGAATGGTCCAAATTTATGGTCTACTTAGAGAAAACTGTACATGAATAAAGACACTCACAGGACTGAAATAAAACTCATAGCGTTTATTGTAAACACTTGGTTAGACCGTAAGATGTAATACGGTAATATAATAAGGATTGTATGTACAAAGTACAATACAAAAACTTATTAAGGAATTATAGACATTTATAGAATGTATATATAGTAAACATGCTTAAGTAAGAGCAATATAGAGAAGCCAGAAGAGGGGTGAAGGGAAGTTAATTCGGATAAGATATAGATTTTAAGGAGAATAAAGATGTATTGTGTTTAAGATATTTGAAAAAAAATCAATAAAAATCACTGAAGGAAAAAAAAGATGATGATGATGATGATGATAATAAATTTATTTGTATCCCACCCTCCCCGGCCAAAGGCGTGCTCAGAACGGCTAACATCATATAAATAAGACAATATGCATAATACAATATACAATATGCAAATAAAATAACATTCAACATTCATTAAAATAATATAGAATAATATTAAATATCAGCATTTCAAAATTAAACAGAAATCCACTCTTAACAGTTACAATAAGTAACTTAAGCATTTGTTCCTTAAAAAACACAAAAAACCCACACTGTGCCAACTGCCACTATAATACAGCGGGCTGCTGTTCATTCTGCTGCCCAGAGACATCTAACTCTGCACCTGCAAAAACCTTGCAACCTGCAGCAAAATAGCAAATCCGAAGAGGTACCAACTGCAAGGTATCAACGTGGCTGATGCTGTTCTCCATCTACACAAAGCAGTCATTCTTGCTAGCCGCCTGCGATTTTTATCACAGGCTGTCTGGCGACTGGAATTTCTATCCACAAAGGTAAGAGTTTAAATACCTGAGGGAGACAGGGAGGGAGGTTGTGTTTGAATGAAGGTGATGCTGCTGCTGTTGGTTTTTTTTTAATGATATAAAGTTGCTGATTTCACAGCTCAAAAGAAAAGCTTAAGGCCTGCTCTTGGTTAATTACCAAAGCCTGGAAACCGGACTTTAAACGAGCTACTCCTGCAATGCCTGAACAGCTTTGGACTGTGCAAATCTTTCTCTGGCAATTTAGCAAAAGCCCTTCTCAGGATTCAGGAAACATCATATCAGCTTCCCACAACCTGGTGCTTCTTTCATATGCTTCGGAGCGTAACACTCTCATCAGATGACAGGGACGTTGACGGAAGCTGTGGTCCAAAATATCAGAAGGGCACTGGGGTGGGGGAAGCTGTTTTTGACTTAAGAAGGCAACAGTTTTCAGTCTCTAAAATCGCCTGCTGAATAGTTTCAGTGATCTCCATCTGGCTGTTTGCACTAAGCTATTGAAATATGCCTATAATCTGGCTTGAACCCGGTCTCAGGTTATTATTCCACATTCTTCCCTCACTCCCTGTTCTCAGTTTACACTTGTGCGCACAGTTTCATTTCTTTCTTTAAATGCACACAATGAAGGATTGCCAGTGGCCATCAATTGCAATTTTCCAGGGTCAGTTAATTCCAATTTTTATCTTTTGCCATCTTAGCACTGCGGGCACAGCTACATCCGAGGAGAGAAGAGTTCCAACAGAAACTGCTATTGACATTTGCAGGGCAGCACCAATGGATATTTCTTCTTCTTCTTCTTCTTCAGCGATCACTTGTTGCCAAGTAAGATCGTCTTCCATAAACCAAGTATTAACAGTGAGTCTGTAAGTGACCGTGGAGGCCAATTCCGAATCCACACGTCCTTCCACAGTGGGGACATTGGTTCCCAGGCAGGAGTTGATCACGGTGTGGATTTGCCAAGCATGCCTTCCTCTTAGCATGTTTCTCCTTTGTGTCCTGAGTTCGAGCATCTTCAAAGCCCATGACACCTTTGGTAAAGGCTGTTTTCCAATTGGAGCACTCACAGGCCTGTGTTTCCCAGTTGTCAGTGTTTATACTACATTTTTAAAGATTTGCCTTGAGATAGTCTTTCAACCTCTTTTGTTGACCACCAGCATTACGCTTTCCATTTTTAAGTTTGGAATAGAGTAGTTGCTTTGGAAGACGATCATCAGATGCAGGAAACTCAGCTTTGGTCAAGGCTGTTTTCCAATTGGAGCGCTCACAGGCCAGTGTTTCCCAATTGTCAGTGTTTATACTACTTTTTTTTAAGATTTGTCTTGAGTGAGTCTTTTGTTGACCACCAGCATTACGCTTTCCATTTTTAGGTTCGGAATAGAGTAGTTGCTTTGGAAGACGGCAATCAGGCATCTGAACAACATGGCCAGTCCAATGAAGTTGATGTTGAAGAATCATTGCATTTGGGTTTAACCGTACCGCCACCTGCTCCTACAAAGTGTTGTTGTTTAGTCATTTAGTCGTGTCCGACTCTTTGTGACCCCATGGACCAGAGAACACCAGGCACTCCTGTCTTCCACCGCCTCCCGCAGTTTGGTCAAACTCATGTTGGTAGCTTCGAGAACACTGTTCAGCCATCTCGTCCTCTGTCGTCCCCTTCTCTTTGTGCCCTCAATATTTCCCAGCATCAGGGTCTTTTCCAGGGAGTCTTCTCTTCTCATGAGGTGGCCAAAGTATTGGAGCCTCAGCTTCAGGATCTGTCCTTCCAGTGAGCACTCAGGGCTGATTTCCTTCAGAATGGATAGGTTGGATCTTCTTGCAGTCCATGGGACTCTTGAGTCTCCTCCAGCACCAGAATTCAAAAGCATCAATTCTTCGGCAATCAGCCTTCTTTAAGGTCCAGCTCTCACTTCCATACATCGCTACTGGGAAAACCATAGCTTTAACTATACAGACCTTTGTTGGCAAGGTGATGTCTCTGCTTTTTAAAGTACTCCTTCATATTTAAACATCCCATATCCATCTGAGAAGGAGAACTCAGTATCCTCATTTCCCTTTCTTATTCCACCCACCCACTAGCCTTAAAAACCCACAAACCCACAAAATCCAAATGAACTTCAAAGGCCTTTTCTATTGCAATCCGAAAATCCCTCCCCTGAGCGGAGTCATAGCTTGGGCTTCACTGTTTCACGTGCGCTGCATTCCTTTCTCGGGGTCACTGCCCAGCGACTTTCTATTACTGCTCCGCAGCTTCACTCTTCTCTGGTTCTGCCTCCCTTTTCAGAAGCAGCCAAGCCAACCTCAATCTCCCATCTCTCGCCGCAGCCATTATGTAATAAATCCAGATCCCCCTCAATCAGGATGGCTTTTGTTCCTCACGGCTTTGGAGTCCCCTTGATCGCCCGCACGGCACAGGCTTCTGCAACCATTTGGCAGCCATGGGGAGGAAGGGGAGGACGGATGGGGCAGGCAAATGAGAAGGGAAAAGGCAGACTCTATTCAAGTGGGAGGCCAGACTCCTCCGCAGACTGGATGCAAGCGGTGTGGGAAGAGGGGGCACCCTCAGAGAGATCTAGGGGTCCTCTTTCTGGCATCTCGACGCAGCTTAGGCATTCATAATGTATTGAAAACACACCATCAAACGCCTGTGGAGTCTCGGCACCCATCGGAGGCCCCCGCCATGCCATTTTCTCAGTCCAAAAGTAGCTCAGGGATTTGTGAATGAAGGCATAAAGGACACGTCCCCTCTACTACGGTATTCTTTGGGTGCGTTCACCCCATACATTTAAAGCAAAGGGATGCGGGTGGTGCTGTGGTCTACACCACTGACCCTCTTGGGCTTGCTTATCAGAAGATTGGCGGTTCGAATCCCCGCAACGGAGTGAGCTCCGGTTGCTCTGTCCCAGCTCCTGCCAACCTAGCAGTTTGAAAGCACACCAATGCGAGTAGATAAATAGGTACCACTGTGGCGGGAAGGTAAACGGCGTTTCCGTGTGCTCTGGTTTCC